TTTCCCAAGTCTTCTAAATCCCAAATTCCCAATTTCCCAAATCTCTAAATCCCAAATTCTCAATTTCCCAAATCTCCAAACCCAAAATTCCCAGATCCCTACATCCCCTCGTTCTTCACACTCTCAAATCCCTATATCCCCATCTGCCTACATCAGCACTTTTCCTTGATCCACATTCCTAGACCTCCGCAATCTAAATACTTTAATCCCTACATCCCTTCCCGTATTGTATCTCTAAATGCCTGCCTCCCTACACCTCTCCATCCTTGAATCCCTGCACCACTATCTCCTACAACGAGTCAAATGAAGTCCAATATACCTTTTAGTATATTATGAACATCTGAGTCGCGGTACTATAAACATGTTTGGTCACGCAACGAAAAGATTGAGAAACGCTATTCATGATGGATGTGTAATTAAATCTCGAGGATTACACTTATACCCGTCGGATCATAACAGCGAGATCACGTCGCAAACAATTGCCACCGATTCATCACGCAAGGAAAACAAGCCAATGCAATTCTGAAATTAACGAAATTTTTCGACGAATTCCACGCGATATTCCAATTGAGGATCAATCGTTTTCGATGAATTTGACGGTTAGAATGACGCGTTAGTTAGGTTTGACACGTTAAATTTGAACATGCAGAATTTCATTTTGATCGAGTTGTAATTAGAAAATTTATCTTACGTTCGTAATGAACGACCTTTACTCGACGAGTTAAACCCGTGGATCCTTTGTTCTTCCCTCGCACTAAAATCGACCAGCCAGACAGACAGACTGGCGCCCTACTTCCAATCGAACCGACCACAACGCCATTTCCTAATCGATTCTCATTGTGAAGCAATTAACGACGAAATTAGGATTAATTACGGCGACGTGGAGAATCTATGGTTTAGCAGTGACGCATTAATTTTTCGATTCGCAATTATTTCCGCTCGTGCGGGGGTTGTCTCCGCGTCGCAAGAGAAATGGAGGACTTGGAGAATATCGATTGAAGCGGTATTTGTGTCACAAGTCTGTGACAGTTGACAGTGCCTACGACTAAAATAACGGCGCGAATGAGGGAAACTAATTTCCTGAGTCCTTTTATACACTGCAGTTAGGTCATTTCATAATTAATGTTCTTTAGTCGCTCGACGGGCGGGAAATTAATTCACTGTCACTTTTCATCGTTATATCTTGTTTTAATCGCTGGAAGTCTTTTGTTTACCTCTTCTTGGAAAGTTTTTATAAAGAAGTTACACTTTATTATTTTCACTGCAAGTTGTCTTAAAAATTTTTAATGAATATTTAGATTATTGTGTTTTGATTTGTTTATCTATTTTCAGTTGTTACAATCTTGTTATATTTTAACAGTAAAAATTATATATTGCTTTTTTTATTGTTTGCTGATGTTTGATTTTTAGGTGAATAATTATTGAACATTTTCGTCTTGTAATATAGTGTAAATTTTATTCAGTTCATTCCTAGTGGATATAGTGGATAGTATGCAAGGATATTTTTATTGACAGTGTGAATTTCATTTATCTTTTTCATCCTCGATCACATATTTTGTATACATGTAACTGCACTGAAACTGCAAAATCAACCAACTCTCCTCAAATTATAAATTATAGAATTATAATACATTTTTCAGAATGTATAATGGATTTTATCAAGATAAGGAATATTATCCTAGTGTCCTATACTAGTTTGTTTAACTAATTTTGTTTTCATTCAACATTTATCTGCCTCTCTTACACAACCAATCGATGACAATTACAGTACTTAATCATGTATTGTACATTACAGAAGTTCACTCAAATTAGCTTAAAAGAACACACGTCAAAAAAAGAAACATTTGCGTTCTTCATTGCACAAGGCTTATGTAAGAAGTAGACGACAATGAATCGTGTTAGCGGG